AGGGTTGAACAACCGTATTGGATGACCCCGATAAGAGATACGGAAACGATGACTCCCAGCTGACAAGAACGAACACCCGCTGAAAGCAAGAGCCCCAATTCACATACATAGGCCAACTCCTCAAAAGTCATTCTCGGGCCCTTATCTCAAATGCATAGCACCAGAAAAGCCCAAGTGTTTACCGAACTCCATGAAGGCGAAGGCGGCAACCACGGGGGGGGGCGCAGTCTTGCACACGGGTGATCACCGCTAGTATATATGGCGACCATACCACCGATTCGACCGCTTACGTGAAGAAGTGCACATGTCAAAGGTTTGCCTAGTCTCACCTCCTCCCACCAGAACGACTCCATTCCATTCTCACACCTTGGCCATTCATGAATGGGGAATAGCACTCGTGGGAAACTACCTACTGCACCGGGCAACGAGTCTTCATTTGGCTGTGACAGACTACTTACCAAGTGGATCGAACCGAGCCGAAGCCTTCACAAGTCAGAGACCGAGAGGTAAAAGCCTTCATCTGGAAGAATGTAATCTGTAGGTTCGATACCAAGGAGATGTCACCGATAATGGATCCCAGTTTCATTAGTCAGGCTAAGGATTTCTGTGACAGTGGGGAATCAAATTGAGCTTCTCACACCCCGCAACCCCAGTCTAACGGCCAGCCGAGTCATCAAACAAGACCATCATACAAACATTGAAGAAGCGATTGCAGAAGCTAAGGGTGCATGGCAGACGAGCTACCCAGTCCTCTGTCATACCGAACCACGCTCATCATCAACGGAAACCCCGTTCTCCCTACATACGGTTCGAGAGTCATCCCACTGAAGTATCGTTCCGTCCACAAGCTCCAATGGGGGACAGGAATCAAACAGTCACAACCTTCCAGAACCTAGAACATGTGAGAGTACGGAACGGCGAGCATCCGCACGTAGTTTACCAACAACAGGCCCCTGACATTATAACCGAACTTGAGATCCGTACTTTCAAGATAGGCGCCGGGTCCTCCGCAGGTCTTCCAAAACACCAAAAGATCAACTCTGACAAACTCGGTCCCACTTGGAAGCCCTAAGATAATCAAAGCAGGGGAAGGGTCCTACAAACTCGACCCCCGAGGGCAAAGACATCAACAACAGTTGGAATGCCATTCACCTCAAACACTACTACCACTAGGTGAACTTTGTTTTTCTTTTAAAGGGATGAGTGGGCCTTCCACCTCCTCTAGACAGTCGCTTCATGGCCAATATTTAATGAATACTATTCAAAGTTTTGTCTCCAAACGACCCCAGTCGATGAATTACGGACACCTTCAAATCGGCCTGCTCGATAAACATACGGACACCTTCAAATCGGCCTGCCCATAAACGTACAGACACCTTCATCGGCCTACCCATAAAACGTACGGACACCTTCAAATCGGTCATCCAGATAACTTACAGACACCTTCAAATCAGCCTGCCCGATAAACGTACGTACACCTTCGGATCAGCCAGCTGCTAACGTAACGACACCTTCAATCGGCCTGCCTGATAACGTACTACACCTTCGAATCGGCCCTGCCCGATAAACGTATTGACACCTTCAAATCGGCCCTATCCAATAAATGTACTGACACCTTCAATCGGCCCTGCCCGAAATGTACATACACCTTCGAATCGACCCTGATCGATTACAATCCATCTCGTATCGACCCTTCTATTCGCGAGTTGCACCTTCGTATGGGCGCCACTTGACTACGAAATTCAGCACGACTTATGATTCACACCACCCAGTCGACCTGATCCAACCCAGAAATCACTCCAGTTTGACTTCGTTCATCCACGGAATGTACACTCGTCGACCAGACCGAATGAATGGTCTTCACACCAGTGACAGCAAAGCATGATCCAGCCCAACAGAAGGCCTACATGCCTTCCCCACTAGGCCACTCTAAAGTAACATACACGACGTAGTGCACCTACAAGTAAAGAAACACAGTTCATTCATCCAAGGAGACAGCATCAGAATTCAAAAATGGTCAAATGTTACATATATAACATCAAACAGCCCAGTTCAGAATACAAAAAAATGGCACACATGCCAGACAAAGGCATCGCAGCCCAAAACACATAAATAAAGAAAAAAGCTAAGTATCCTAGCATGAGCTTCATCCCCATCGCCGAATCGGTCATCATATTCCGCACTGCCAACGCTCGCCCAGCACCTGGCCGCCTGCATCATCAACACCCGATAGCCTCGGCTGGCTGAGGTCAGCATCTGCTCGTCGTCTTGCCCCCTGGAGACTACCTCCTTCGTCCAGTAACTCCTGCATGAGCAAGAGTCTTCATCCAGTCCCAATGAGAGGTCCGTCCTTCTTTGAACTCCGCATGAGCTCACCTCGGGCCATAATGATAGCATCATCAGTAATGGAGATGCACTGCTCCTAGAGACTCGACCTCTGCAGTTCTCTCGGCCAACTCACGCCTCAGTCTCTCGATCTCATGCTCTCTATCCCTCAGCCGATGCTGAAACTCTTGCTCGGCTTCCCCGCCATCTCCTTCTGGCGCAGGCTGGTGTTGGCCTTAGACACTCTTGTATACGTTTCTCCTCCGCCACACAAAGACTTCCTCAGGTGAAGACTGCTAGTGAGTACCTGCCCAACAAAACATTGCAATCAGAACAAGACTCAAAACAAAAATCATCAAACTCTACTGTAAACCTGAACGCGCGAGCTACCCCCCAATCAGCCACAACAACTGCACCCATCTGGTTAAGCCGCGCCTCGTCCGCCGGGACAAAAATGAGTCGGCCACACTTACTCATGGTAATTGCATCAAGTAAGTCGACGCATTAGCCAGAATCGTGATGGTAATCGTTTCGCCCTCTTCATCCATAACCGTGGTCTGGGACGACCTGGCTCCAACTGAAGCTGCTGACTCGGTGGCGTCGCTAGCATATCATCTGCTCCTCTGTCTTCCCTAGCTAAAGACTCTCCTCCTCCTCTTTCACTGCGTCGGGCGATAATTCGCTCGCGCGTCGGACGGTCAACTTCTTCATCAGCGACTTGCAAGTACAAACTCTCCAACGGTTAGTAGGTTCAGCTCGGACTCACCAAAAATGATATGGTTGCAGTATCGACTCAGAAGCACATCCAAGTCTGCTTCAGCAAGGGGAAGGGAGTACCTCTCTGTATCGCCTCTACTCCGGCCCAGAATGCGTGTCCTCAGGTTGACTTTGCTAGCACTACTCCGCAATCCCTCTGCTCTAATGGGATGGCTAACACCCTCTGGGTCACTACATCCAAGCCGTCTCCGCTCTGTCCAGCCCGATTGAACTCAAGCTCTGCAAACAAAAACACAATCAGATTTAGTAATCAAAAGTACGAGAAACAACTAAGCTCGCACCAGTAGCTCCCAGCCGATCGAGATCTCACCCTGTCCTCTCTCCCCAAATACAGCTTGACCCTCAGGTAAAATATCGGTCTTTCCAGTTCTTATCACTAGACCGTAGGTCGGTCACCATAGACCAATCATGCCTCAAGTTCAACAAGTAACGTCCCTTCTCTTTATCGTTCTCCTTCAAAGTAGGTACGCAGCTCGTGCAACCCAAACCTCACTTGGTTCCGAACACAAAGGTCTTCCAAAGCCATTAGCAGTCTCCAAACATTCGGCATAAGCTGAGACGGGGCAATCATGAAGTGTTTTAGCACCTCCCAGACGAGGCGAGCACAGGCAACCTCAACCCGTCATGAAACCACTTCTCGTAAACACTGATCCATCCTTTGCTCCCAATCAACCCGCTCGTACGACCGCGGCATCCGGATATTAATAGAACTTGGAATGTGATACAAGGTCCAGATGCGCCACACATCACTATCTTTCAGCACGGGAGGATAATCTCTAGTCAAAATCCCGCTGCCTTGTTGGCTCGGCTCTTCCTTAGAGCCACTTCTGGAAGAAGATGGACTATCAACTCTTTCGGAGTCTTCCCCACTCCTCCCATGCCTACCCGAGCCACTCGGCCCAACCTTACTCAACCCTGGAGTGGCTATACTGACTCCACTCGGCACGCCATAGGAACGCCCCCCTCGGCATCATCACTATAGTCAAGGCACGCTCATACTCATCCCCTGAGTCTGCCACAATCCCGCTCGAACTAGCCGATTCAAAATCTGACATTAGGGCCAAAAATCGTCCTTGGCCCAAATAGGAAAACGGGCCCGACACTGAAGAATAAGCCAAGCCAAGCCCAATCCTGATATGACCCAACTGGATTAGGCCCATTCGGTACAAGATATAGCCGGCCCAAACCACGTGGGCACGAGCCTCCTAATCCCAGTCCATTTCCTAGGTCCATTGGTGAATCCAGAGCCCACGGCCCCCTCATAATACTTTTCTATTCCTGATCACTTTCCTGCTCGAAGTTACTCTCCTAATCAGAATCACCTTCCTATTCGGACACTGGTAAGACAGCTTACCACGACCCTAATTCTTCTAGGGTTGGCATCAGAGTCATACTAGGACTCCTACTTCTACCAGGATTGGGAGACCAGACAGTCACTATATAAGCAGAGGTCAGCCCTCTCACAAAAGAGATCACATTACACCTTCACACCTGAAGCTCCTACTTAAGAGCTTTACATCACCGCCGTAGTCACAGTCCCCAACTAGACTTCCGGTAATCTCTACTCCCTAGCCCTCACTATATTAGCCTTTCTCAGCCTTGCTGACTTGAGCGTCAGAGTGCCTACGGCAAACACCACCCTGGTGTTTCCCGTTCGCTTCACGCGTGTGTTTCTCTACGTGTGCAGGTGCAGCGGATCGCTAGTGGCCTCAACCTCACGGGATCAGACCCCCCTTCCGTACAGGTAGATTCTTATGTCTACAGTTTGGCATCCACCGTGGAGCCTCTAGCAATCATTTGGCTCGACGAACCCTGCTGCGTAAAGGGACTTGCCATGGCTGACAACTCCGATAACGCTAATCCTGGCCTCGAGGCCACTGGAAGCTCTAACCACTCTCATGCAACAAAACTTGGACAAGGTGGCTGCATTGGAAGTTGAGAACAATGCGATCCGGATGGAAAACGTCAGGTCAGGAAACCAATCCCTTAAGGAGAAGGTGAGTCAATTCTACGACCTAGAGTTCCTACTCGGCCAAGCACCCCCCAATCGGTTCTGCGCCCATATCCCATCCATGCAACCACTCTCCACACCAGAGCATTGGCCCTCGGTCTCCGGTAAAGGGTCGCATCCGTTAAGCGCACTGGCGCTCGACGACTCTGTTTTGACTAATGGAGACAAAGATATGCTAGCAGAACACCATCCGGCCGACCCACCCCAGCCTCGTGACCAAGACAGTCCAATAACAGAAAGCCCGCATCCACAAGACCAACCCATCCTTAATGTCCCACTCCACCTCCAGTCAACAACCCAAACACAAACCCCATTTGGCTCGGCTCACCCTCGCGGGTTGAATGGCCAAACCAAACAAACTCCAACACTCGAGCTCATCCATCTTGACAGACCAAGCGACTACCAGTCGACTCCCCTGACCATTCATGTAGGGTGGAATAATAGAACAGTAACAATGAGAGTCATCCAACCGGAAGGGATGAACGAAGATCCATGCTACCAAGGAATGCATGACAGAATGATCTATCAGACTGCCCCCCGAGGGATGACCCAAAGGAATGTGCCGAGAACGAATGCAATAGTAGACCCAATAAGACGGGATGACCCGGTAGTATCCCTCTCTCCTATGGAACAAGTACTGGCCAAGAGACTAGCCGATGTCGAGGCAGTGATGAGACACATTCCAAGAATGCCGGTCCCAACCAAGAAGAGCAGGCCCCATTGTTACGCTAATTCACCCTTTGTGGATGAGATCACTCTGGCCGACATGCCCTAGAAATTCACCATCCCCAACATGAAACCATACGATGGTACCAACGACCCAGATGACCATATAGCCTCGTACAAGCAGCGGATGTTCAGAATCTCAATACCACGACTACTTAGGGAAGCCTACATGTGCAAAAGTTTCGGTTCTAGTTTGTCCAGCCTGGCGCTCTAGTGGTACACAAAGCTCTCGAACGAATCCATCGATTCATTCGCCTAGCTTATTGACACCTTTGTGGAACAGTTCGCCAGTAGCAAGAAACTAGAGAAACTGTCGACCAATCTATACCGAATATACCAGAGTAGGGGAGAGCCATTGAGAGAATATGTTAGCAGATTCAATAGAGAAAAGATCTCTATCCCCTCATGTAACCCCGAGACTGCTGTGGACGCTTTCAGGAAAGGCCTCCTCCCGGACAGAGAACTATACAAAGAACTTACGAAGCTGGCTTGCACCACAATGGAAGACGCTCTCGCCCGGGCAGTTATCCAGATAAGATGGGAGGAAGATAAGATGAACCGAGCGGCTCATTCTAGATATGAATCAAGGCGGAGTGACAGGAAGCCAAAGCCTGGACCGGTAGAGCACTGCCACCAACCTCCAGCACGCAATATGGGCAGAGTCATGAAACCTTATGATCACCAACCCGCGAGAAATGATAACAGGCAGTTCGGATCGAACCGACACAAAATACCAGAGTACAACCTCAACGTCAAACCAACCCAGGTCGTAGCAATAATGAAAGGATTGGGATCCACCGTCAAGTGGCCTGGCAAGCTTAATCCCGAGGCAAGGAGAGACATAACCAAGTGGTGTGAATTCCACAGCGACCATAGGCACAACACTGCCGACTGTATTGCCTTATTGCTTGAGGTTGCCACACTTCTAAAAAGGGGACATCTCTGTGATCTGCTTACTGACAAGGGGAAGAACACCATTAACCAGAAAAGCTCTGAAGAACCGTCACCCCCTCCGCGGGAACACACGTCGAAAAGTTTCTATTCGCTCATCTCTGGAGGATCAGAGATCAGTGGGGTAAGTTACTCATCGGCCAAGCGATATGCTAGAGCCAACCACCACCATGAAGTCCAGTCCATCCATCCGGTCTCGCAGTCACACTCTCATCAGGTAATTCAGTTTGAAGATGACGAACCGGTCACCTTGGCCGCTTCTCATCACGATGCTTTAGTCGTCTCCCTACAGATTGCCAACATCCTAGTGAAAAGGGTGTTCGTAGATGGAGGTTCGTTAGCAAACATCCTGTTCCTCGAAGCAGTAAAGGCAATGGGACTAGAAGAAGCAAACATCAACAGACGGCCGACACTGCTGGTTGGGTTCAGCTCGGAGCAGAAATACACTATCGGAGAGATCGTCCTTCCTATCTACACCGGCGGAGTGAACAAACAGACCGTCTTCCTGGTGATCGACTGCCCATCTCCCTACAACGTCATTTTGGGTCAGCCCTGGATCCACGACATGCGGGCAGTCCCATCTACCTTCCACCAGGCGATCAGGTTTTCAACCAAGTGGGGGGGTACGAGAGATCAAGGGCGACCCCAAAGCTTCCAGAGACTGATACAAGAACTCCTTCAAGAGCAAAGGAAACTCTTCATAGCAATTACAGTCTCATCCAACCCCTCGGACCGAGCCTGACCAACCGACTATTAAGGAGTTGGATGAGGTGCAGATACATCCGGACTACCCCGAGAGAAAGACACATATAGGTTCCCGCCTCGAACCCGAGACAAGAGAAAAGCTGATAGAATTTTTCAAACAAAACGAAGACTGCTTCGCTTGGTCCCACGCCGACATGACAGGAGTCAGTCCAGACGTAATGGTCCACCAGCTCAAGGCAGATCCAGATCACCCACCAGTGAAGCAGAGGAGGAGGAAATTCGCACCTGAGCGAAACCGGATTGTCAATGAAGAGATTGAAAAGCTCCTAAGCAATGGCATGATCAGAGAGGTCCACTACCCCGAATGGCTAGCAAACGTCGTGGTCGTAAAGAAAAAGTATGGGAAGTGTATAGTCTGCATCGACTTCACTGACTTGAACAAAGCCTGCCCCAAGGATTCTTTCCCACTCCCACATATCGACATGATGGTAGATGCGACCGTAGGGCACGAACTCCTTAGTTTCATGGACGCCTTCTCAGGATATAACCAGATCCTAATGCATCCGGACGACCAAGAGAAGACAACCTTCATCACAAAGAGGGGAACCTACTGCTACAAAGTAATGCCGTTCGGACCGAAGAACGTCGGGGCCACCTACCAATGGCTAGTCAACAAGATGTTCTCCAACTACTTAGGAGAGACTATGGAGGTTTACATCGATGATATGCTCGTCAAGTCCCTGATTGCCGAATAACACCTTGACCACCTTAGCCAGGCATTCGCCGTCCTTTGGAAGTACAACATGAAGCTGAATCCAGCCAAGTGCTCATTCGACATCTCATCAGGTAAATTCTTAGGCTATATGGTTACTCAGAGAGGGATAGAAGCGAACCCCGACTAGATCAGAGCGATCCTCAACATACCATCCCCGACTTACATCAGAGATGTCCAGCGCCTTGTAGGACAAGTGGCCGCCCTAAGTCGTTTCATCTCTAGATCAGCTGATAAGTGCCACCTATTCTTCCATGCCTTCAAGAAGTCCAAGAAGTTCGACTGGAACCCTTCCTGCGAAGAAGCCCTACTACAACTGAAGAGGTATCTGACCACACCCCCGCTTCTTTCCAAACCTATGGACGGGGAGAAGCTCTACTCTTACCTAGCGGTCTCAGAGACAGCCATCTCAGCAGTGCTAGTTTGGGAAGAAGAATCAAAGTAGTTACCAGTTTACTATGTGAGCAAGTCACTCCTCGACGCAGAAACTCGGTACAGTCAACTAAAGAAACTGGCCCTCGCCCTTATCCATGCATCCAGAAAGCTCAGGCCGTACTTTCAGTGCCACTCCATTGTTGTAATCACCTCCTTCCCACTCAAGCAGATACTGCACAAACCAAAACTATCAGGCCGACTTATGCAATGGACAGTAGAGCTCAGTGAGTTCGACATAGCCTACTAATCCCGTACTGCCGTCAAGTCCTAGGCACTAGCAGACTTCATTGTCGACTTCACACCAAGTGCCACCACCCAGGCCGAAAGAGAGTTACTGTGCATGAATGGCACACCACCCTCAAAGTGGACTCTCCTAGTAGATGGATCGAGTAATGTCAATGGAAGCAGACTCGGAATAGTACTGATCGCACCAGAGGGAGACATCGTCCAGCGAGTAATCCGGTGTGGGTTCAAATGCATGAATAACGAGGCCGAATATGAAGCCCTTCTAGCTAGACTTTCCTTGGCCAGAGAAATTGGAGCCAAGAGACTGGAAGTGAAGTCCGATTCCCAACTCGTAGTCAATCAACTACAAGGCACATATCAAGCACGTGATTCAAAGATGACATCCTATTTGAGCATGGCCAAAGAGCTGCAGGCCCAATTCGAAGAGTTCTCCATCATACAGATCCCCAGAGCTGAGAACTACCATGCCGATGCCATTGCCAACCTTGGCTCGGCACTCCCATGTTCCTCCCAGTCATCCATTCCTCTCTTATTCATATAGTGGCCAGCCAACTAGAAGGAACAACCACCGAACAAGTCTCCCGCAGAAGCCATGGGCGTTGAACAAGCCGATTGCTGGATGACTCCGATAGTAAGATACTTGGAAAACGATGAACTCCCGACTGACAAGAACGAAACACATCGACTGAAAGCAAGAGCTGCACGATTCATCATACATAAGGGCCAACTCCTCAGAAAGTCATTCTCGGGCCTTTATCTCAAATGCGTAAGTCCAGAAGAAGCCCAAAGTGTTATATCCGAACTCCATGAAGGTGAATGCGGCAACCACGCAGGGGGCCGCAGTCTTGCACACCGGGTGATCACCGCTAGATATTAATGGATGACCATACACACCGATTCGACCGCTTACGTGAAGAAGTACGACAGTTGTCAGAGATTTGCCTATGTCTCACACCTCCCACCAGAGAAACTCCATTCTATCCTCACACCTTGGCCATTCATGAAGTGGGGAATGGACATCGTGGGAAAGCTACCTACTGCACCGGGGTAACGAGTCTTCATATTGGCTGTGACAGACTACTTTACCAAGTGGATCGAAGCCGAAGCCTTCGCACAAGTCAGAGATCGAGAGGTAAAAGCCTTCATCTGGAAGAATGTCATCTGTAGGTTCGGGATACCGAAGGAGATCGTCACCGATAATGGATCCCAATTCATTAGCTCAGGCTTTAGGGACTATAGTGACAAGTGGGGAATCAAACTGAGCTTCTCAACACCCCGCAACCCCTAGTCTAACGACCAGGCCGAGTCATCAAACAAGACCATCATACAGACATTGAAGAAGCGATTGCAGAAAGCTAAAGGTGCATGGGTAGACGAGTTACCCGGCGTCCTCTAGTCATACCGAACCACGGCTCACTCATCAACCGGCGAAACCCCGTTCTCCCTCACATATGGTTCTGAAGTAGTCATCCCAACTGAAGTATCAGTTCCGTCTACCAGGCTCTAATAGGCGGGCAAGGAATCAAACAGTCACAACCTCTACCAGAACCTAGACACCGTGGATGAGCTACGGGAACGGGCAAGCATCCGCAACGCAATTTACCGGTAACAGGCCGCCCGACATTATAACCGCAATGTGAGGATCCGTACTTTCAAGATAGGCAACTGGGTCCTTCGCAGGTCTTCCAAAACACCAAGAAGATCAACTCTGGCAAACTCGGTCCCACCTAGGAAGGCCCCTATAAGATAATCAAAGCAACAGGGAAGGGCGTCTACAAACTCCAGACCCCCGAGGGCAAAGACATCAACAACAGTTGGAATGCCATTCACCTCAAACGCTACTACTACTAGGTGAACTTTGTTTCTTTCTTTTTCATTTTAAAAAGGATGAGTAGGCTTATCCATCTCCTCTTAGACAGTCGGCCTCATGGCCAGATATTTAATGAAGTACTATTCAGAAGTTTTTTGTCTCCAAACTGACCCCAGTCGATGAATTACTGACACCTTCAAATCGGCCCTACTCGATAAACGTATCAGCACCTTCAAATCGACCCTGCCCGATAAACTTATGTACACCTTTGAATCAACCCTGCTCGATTCACGATGAGACCTTCAGATCGACCTTGCCGATAAATGTACTGACACCTTCAAATTGGCCCCGCCCGATAAACGTACGTACACCTTCAAATCGACCTTGCTCAATTCACGATAACACCTACAGATCGGCCCTACCGATAAATGTACTGACACCTTCAAATCGGCCCTACCCGATAAGTGTATGTACACCTTTAAATCGACCCTGCTTGATTCACGATGACACCTTCAGATCGGCCCTACCGATAAACGTACTGACACCTTCAAATCGACCCTACCCGATAAACGTATTTACACTTTCGAATTGACCTTGCTCAATTCACAATGACACCTTCAGATTGGCCCTGCCTGATAAACGTACTTACACATTCGAATCGACCATGCTCGATTCATGATAACGCCTTCAGATCAACCCTACCGAATGAACGTACTTACACCTTCAAATCGACCATGCTCGATTCACGATGACGCCTTCATATCGGCCTTGCCCGATAAACGCACTTACACCTTCGAATCGACCATGCTCGATTCATGATGACACTTTCAGATCGGCCCTGCCCGATAAACTTACTTACACTGTCAAATCGACCCTGTTCGATTCACAATGACATCCTCCGATCGGCCCTACCCGATTCGCGAGTTGCACCTCAGTATTGGCCTTACTTGGTCTACGAAACTCAGCACGACTTATGATTCACACCACCCAGTTGGCCTGATCTAACCCAAGAATTGAACTACAGTTTAACTTTGTTCATCCAAGGGAATGTACACTCGGTCGACCAGACCGAATGAATGGTCCTTATACCATTGACAAGCAAAGCACCAACCCAGCCCAACATAAGGCCTACATGCCTTAACCATTGGGCCATTCTAAAGTAACATACACGACGTAGTGCACCTACAAATAAAGAAACAACGAACAGTGCTGCTCATTTAGATATGAATCAAGGCGGAGTGACAGGAAGCCAAAGCCTAGACCGGTAGAGCACCGCACCAACCTCAGCACCGCAATATGGGCAGAGTCAGGAAACTTTGATCACCAACCCGCGAGAAATGATAACAGGCAGTTCGGATGAACCGACACAAAATACCAGAGTACAAAACTCAACTCGAACAACCCAGGTCGTAACAATAATGAAAGGATTGGGATCCACCGTCAAGTGGCCTGGCAAGCTCAATCCCGAGGCAAGGAGAGACAAACCAAGTGGTGTGAATTCCACAGCGACCATGGGCACAACACTGCCGATGGATTGCCTTGTTGCTTGAGGTTGCCACACTTCTAAAAAGGGGACATCTCGTGATCTGCTACTGACAAGGGGAAGAACACTATTAGCCAGAAAAGTCCAAGAACCGTCACCCCCTCCGCGGAACACACGTCGAAAAGTTTCTGTTGCTCATCTCGGAGGATCAGAGATCAGTGGGGTAAGTTACTCATCGGCCCAGCGATATGCTAGAGCCAACCACCACCACGAGTCCAGTCCATCCATCCGGTCTCGCAGCAGTCACATCTTATCAGGTAATTCAGTTGAAGATGACGAACCGGTCACCTTGGCCGTTCTCATACGATGCTTTAGTCGTCTCCCTACAGATTGCCAACATCTTAGTGAAAAGGGTCTTCGTAGATGGAGGTTCGTTAGCAAACATCCTGTTCCTCGAAGCAGTAAAGGCAATGGGACTAGAAGAAGCAAACATCAACAGACGGCCGACACTGCTGGTTAGGTTCAGCTCGGAGCAGAAATACACTATCGGGAGATCGTCCTTCTATCTACGCCGGCGGAGTGAACAAACAGACCGTCTCGTGGTGATCGACTGCCCATCTCCCTACAACGTCATTTTAGGCCAGCCTGGATCCACGACATGCGGGCAGTCCCATCTACCTTCCACCCAGGCGATCAGGTTTTCAACAAGTGGGGGGGTACGAGAGATCAAAGGCGAACCCAAAGCTTCCAGAGACTGATACAAGAATGCCTTCAAGGCAAGGAAACTCTTCATAGCAATTACAGTCTCATCCAACCCTTGGACCGAGCTGACCAACTAACTATTAAGGAGTTGGATGAGGTGCAGATACATGGACTACCCGAGAGAAAGACACATATAGGTTCCCGCCTCGAACCCGAGACAAGAGAGAAGCTGATAGAATTTTTCAAACAAAACAAAGACTGCTTCGCTTGGTCCCACGCCGACATGACAGGAGTCAGTCTAGACGTAATGGTGCAGCTCAAGGCAGATCCAGATCACCCACCAGTGAAGCAGATGAGGAGGAAATTCGCACTGAGCGAAAACTGGATTGTCAATGAAGAGATTGAAAAGCTCCTAAGCAATGGCATGATCAGAGAGGTCCACTACCCCGATGGCTAGCAAACGTCGTGGTCGTAAAGAAAAAGAACGGGAAGTGGTAAGTCTGCATCGACTTCACTGACTTGAACAAAGCCTGCCCAAGGATTCTTTCCCACTCCCACATATCGACATGATGGTAGATGTGACCATAGGGCACGAACTCCTTAGTTTCATGGACGCCTTCTGGATATAACCAGATCCTGATGCATCCGGAGCCACAGAGAAGACAACCTTCATCACAAAGAGGGGAACCTAATGCTACAAAGTAATGCCGTTCGGACGAAGAACACCGGGGCACCACCAATGGCTAGTCAACAAGATGTTCTCCAACTACTTAGGAGAGAATATGGAGGGTACATCGATGAGATATGCTCGTCAAGTCCCTGATTGTCGAACAACACCTTGACCACCTTAGCCAGGCATTCGCGTCATTGGAAGTACAAATGAAGCTGAATCAGCCAAGTGCTATTCGACATCTCATCAGGTAAATTCTTGGCTATATGGTTACTCAGAGAGGGATAGAAGCGAACCCCGACAGATCAGAGCGATCCTCAACATACCATCCCCGACTTGCTCAGAGATGTCTAGGCCTTGCAGGACAAGTGGCCGCCCTGAGTCACTTCCTTCCAGATCAGCTGATAAGTGCCACCTATTCTTCCATGCCTTCAAGAAGTCAAGAAAGTTCGACTGGAACCCTTCTGCGAAGAAGCCTACTACAACTGAAGAGGTATCTGACCACACCCCCGTCTTTTCCAACCTATGGACGGGAGAAGCTCTACCTATCTAGCGGTCTCAGAGACTGCCATCTCAGCAGTGCTAGTTTGGGAAGAAGAATCAAAGTAGTTACCGTTTACTATGTGAGCAAGTCATCCTGACGCAGAAACTCGGTACAGTCAACTAAAGAAACTGGCCCTGCCCTATCCATGCACCAGGAAGCTCAGGCCGTACTTTCAGTGCCACTCCATTGTTGTAATCACCTCCTTCCCACCAAGCAGATACTGCACAAACCAAAACTATCAGGCCGACTATGCAATGGATAGTAGAGCTCAGTAGTTGACGATAGCCTACCACCGTACGCCGTCAAGTCCTAGGCACTAACAGACTCATTGTCGACTTCACACCAAGTGACCACCCAGGCCGAAAGAGAGTTATTGCATGAATGGCGCACCACCCTCAAAGTGGACTCTCCTAGTAGATGGATCGAGTATGTCAATGGAAGCAGACTCGGAATAGTACTGATCGCACCAGGGAGACATCGTCAGCGAGTAATCCGGTGTGGGTTCAAATGCATGAATAACGAGGCCGAATATGAAGCCCTTCTAGCTAGACTTTCCTTGGCCAGAGAAATTGGAGCCAAGAGACTGGAAGTGAAGTCCGATCCAACTCGTAGTCAATCACTACAAGGCACGTATCAAGCACGCGATTCAAAGATGACATCCTATTTGAGCATGGCCAAAGAGCTGCAGGCCCAATTCGAAGAGTTCTCCATCATACAAATCCCCAGAGTTGAGAACTACCATGCCGATGCCTTGCCAACCTTGGCTCGGCACTCCCATGTTCCTCCCAGTCATCCATCCTCTTATTCATGCAGTGGCAGCCAAACGGTCTTTCCTATTCAAACCACCTTTATGATTTCGAAAATTGAAGGTTAAAAATGTAAAACCACGTTCAGGTGTTTTTCGGTTTGAGGTGGTTTTCTTCTAAATCCAAAATTATCCGGTTGATCGAACAAACCAATTTATATAAGTATTCAATTCGAATTTTTTTTTTTTTAATAAAATTATAAGATTTAAATAAATCATGCTATTGAACTTTGGATTTAATTTACTATTTGTTCTTTGTTAGGGCCAAAAATCGTCCTTGGTCCAAATAGGAAAACGGGCCCGACACTGAAGAAGAAGCCAAGCCCAATCCTGATATGACCCAACTGGATTAGGCCCATTCGGTACAAAATATAGCCGGCCCAAACCACGTGGGCACGAGCCTCCTAATCCCAGTCCATTTCCTAGGTCCACAGGCGAATCCAGAGCCCACGGCCCCCTCAGAATACTTTCCTATTCCTGATCACTTTCCTGCTCGAAGTTACTTTCCTATTCAGAATCACCTTCCTATTCGAACACTGGTAAGACAGCTTACCACGGCCCTAATTCTTCTAGGGTTGGCATCAGAGTCATACTAGGACTCCTACTTCTACCAGGATTGGGAGACCAGACAGTCACTATATAAGTAGAGGTCAGCCCTCTCACAAAAGAGATCACATTACACCTTCACACCTGAAGCTCCTACTTAAGAGCTTTACATCACCGCCATAGTCACAGTCCCCAACTAGACTTCCGGTAATCTCTACTCCCTAGCCCTCACTATATTAGCCTTTCTCAGCCTTGCTGACTTGAGCGTCGGAGTGCCTACGACAAACACCACCCCGGTGTTTCCCGTTCGCTTCACGCGTGTGTTTCTCTACGTGTGCAGGTGCAGCGGATCGCTATTGGCCTCAACCTCACGGGATCAGACCCCCCTTCCGTATAGGTAGATTCTTATGTCTACAGTTTGGCACCCACTGTGGAGCCTCTAGCAATCATTTGGCTCGACGAACCCTGTTGCGTAGAGGGACTTGCCATGGCTGACAACTCCGATAACGCTAATCCTGGCCTCGAGGCCAAACTGGAAGCTCTAACCACTCTCATGCAACAAAACTTGGACAAAGTGGCTGCATTGGAAGCTGAGAACAATGCGATCCAGATGGAAAACATGTCCGTCAGGTCAGGAAACCAATCCCTTAAGGAGAAGGTGAGTCAATTCTACGACCTAGAGTTCCTACTCGGCCAAGCACCCCCCAATCGGTTCCGCGCCCATATCCCATCCATACAACCACTCTCCACACCAGAGCATTGGCCCTCGGTCTCCGGTAAAGGGTCGCATCCGTTAAGCGCACTGGCACTCGACGACTCCGTTTTGACTAATAGAGACAAAGATATGCTAGCAGAACACCATCCGGCCGACCCACCCCAGCCTCGTGACCAAGACAGTCCAATAACAGAAAGCCCGCATCCGCAAGACCAACCCATCCTTAATGTCCCACTCCACCTCTAGTCAACAACCCAAACACAAACCCCATTCGGCTCGGCTCACCCTCGCAGGTTGAATGGCCAAACCAAACAAACTCCAACACTCGAGCTCATCCATCCTGACAGACCAAGCGACTACCAGTCGACTCCCCTGACCATTCATGTAAGGTGGAATAATAGAACAGTAACAATGAGAGTCATCCAACCGGAAGGGATGAACGAAGATCCATGCTACCAAGGAATGCACGACAGAATGATCTATCAGACTGCCCCCCAAGGGATGACCCAACGGAATGTGCTGAGAACGAATGCAACAGTAGACCCAATAAGACGGGATGACCCGGTAGTATCCCCCTCTCCTATGGAACAAGTACTGGCCAAGAGACTAGCCGATGTCGAGGCAGTGATGAGACACATTCCAAGAATGCCGGTCCCAACCAAGAAGAGCAGACCCCATTGTTACGCTGATTCACCCTTTGTGGATGAGATCACTCTGGCCGACATGCCCTAGAAATTCACCATCCCCAACATGAAACCGTACGATGGTACCAACGACCTAGATGACCATATAGCCTCGTACAAGCAGCGGATGTTCAGAATCTCAATACCCCGACTACTTAGAGAAGCCTACATGTGCAAAAGTTTCAGTTCTAGTTTGTCCAGCCCGGCGCTCTAGTGGTACACAAAGCTCCCGAACGAATCCATGAATTCATTCACCCAACTTATTGACACCTTTGTGGAACAGTTCGCCAGTAGCAAGAAACTAGAGAAACTGTCGACCGATCTATACCGAATATACCAGAGAAGGGGAGAGCCATTGAGAGAATATGTTAGCAGATTCAATAGAGAAAAGATCTCTATCCCCTCATGTAACCCCGAGACTGCTGTGGACGCTTTCAAGAAAGGCCTCCTCCCGGACAGAGAACTATACAAAGAACTTACGAAGCTGGGTTGCACCACAATGGAAGACGCTCTGGCCCGGGCAGTTATCCAGATAAGATGGGAGGAAGATAAGATGAACCGAGCTGCTCATTTTAGATATGAATCAAGGCGGAGTGACAGGAAGCCAAAGCCTAGACCGGTAGAGCACCGCCACCAACCTCCAGCACGCAATATGGGCAGAGTCAGGAAACCTTATGATCACCAACCCGCGAGAAATGATAACAGGCAGTTCGGATCGAACCGACACAAAATACCAGAGTACAACCTCAACGTCGAACCAACCCAGGTCGTAACAATAATGAAAGGATTGGGATCCACCGTCAAGTGGCCTGGCAAGCTCAATCCCGAGGCAAGGAGAGACATAACCAAGTGGTGTGAATTCCACAGCGACCATGGGCACAACACTGCCGACTGTATTGCCTTGTTGCTTGAGGTTGCCACACTTCTAAAAAGGGGACATCTCCGTGATCTGCTTACTGACAAGGGGAAGAACACTATTAGCCAGAAAAGCTCCAAAGAACCGTCACCCCCTCCGCGAGAACACACGTCGAAAAGTTTCTGTTTGCTCATCTCCGGAGGATCAGAGATCAGTGGGGTAAGTTACTCATCGGCCAAGCGATATGCTAGAGCCAACCACCACCACGAAGTCCAGTCCATCCATCCGGTCTCGCAGTCACACTCTTATCAGGTAATTCAGTTTGAAGATGACGAACCGGTCACCTTGGCCGCTTCTCATCACGATGCTTTAGTCGTCTCCCTACAGATTGCCAACATCTTAGTGAAAAGGGTCTTCGTAGATGGAGGTTCGTTAGCAAACATCCTGTTCCTCGAAGCAGTAAAGGCAATGGGACTAGAAGAAGCAAACATCAACAGACGGCCGACACTGCTGGTTAGGTTCAGCTCGGAGCAGAAATACACTATCGGAGAGATCGTCCTTCCTATCTACGCCGGCGGAGTGAACAAACAGACCGTCTTCGTGGTGATCGACTGCCCATCTCCCTACAACGTCATTTTAGGCCAGCCTTGGATCCACGACATGCGGGCAGTCCCATCTACCTTCCACCAGGCGATCAGGTTTTCAACCAAGTGGGGGGGTACGAGAGATCAAAGGCGACCCCAAAAGCTTCCAGAGACTGATACAAGAATGCCTTCAAGAGCAAAGGAAACTCTTCATAGCAATTACAGTCTCATCCAACCCCTTGGACCGAGCCTGACCAACTAACTATTAAGGAGTTGGATGAGGTGCAGATACATCCGGACTACCCCGAGAGAAAGACACATATAGGTTCCCGCCTCGAACCCGAGACAAGAGAGAAGCTGATAGAATTTTTCAAACAAAACAAAGACTGCTTCGCTTGGTCCCACGCCGACATGACAGGAGTCAGTCTAGACGTAATGGTCCGCCAGCTCAAGGCAGATCCAGATCACCCACCAGTGAAGCAGATGAGGAGGAAATTCGCACCTGAGCGAAACTGGATTGTCAATGAAGAGATTGAAAAGCTCCTAAGCAATGGCATGATCAGAGAGGTCCACTACCCCGAATGGCTAGCAAACGTCGTGGTCGTAAAGAAAAAGAACGGGAAGTGTAGAGTCTGCATCGACTTCACTGACTTGAACAAAGCCTGCCCCAAGGATTCTTTCCCACTCCCACATATCGACATGATGGTAGATGTGACCATAGGGCACGAACTCCTTAGTTTCATGGACGCCTTCTCGGGATATAACCAGATCCTGATGCATCCGGACGACCAAGAGAAGACAACCTTCATCACAAAGAGGGGAACCTACTGCTACAAAGTAATGCCGTTCGGACCGAAGAACACCGGGGCCACCTACCAATGGCTAGTCAACAAGATGTTCTCCAACTACTTAGGAGAGACTATGGAGGTTTACATCGATGATATGCTCGTCAAGTCCCTGATTGTCGAACAACACCTTGACCACCTTAGCCAGGCATTCGCCGTCATTTGGAAGTACAATATGAAGCTGAATCCAGCCAAGTGCTCATTCGACATCTCATCAGGTAAATTCTTGGGCTATATGGTTACTCAGAGAGGGATAGAAGCGAACCCCGACCAGATCAGAGCGATCCTCAACATACCATCCCCGACTTGCATCAGAGATGTCTAGTGCCTTGCAGGACAAGTGGCCGCCCTGAGTCACTTCATCTCCAGATCAGCTGATAAGTGCCACCTATTCTTCCATGCCTTCAAGAAGTCCAAGAAGTTCGACTGGAACCCTTCCTGCGAAGAAGCCCTACTACAACTGAAGAGGTATCTGACCACACCCCCGCTTCTTTCCAAACCTATGGACGGGGAGAAGCTCTACTCTTATCTAGCGGTCTCAGAGACTGCCATCTCAGCAGTGCTAGTTTGGGAAGAAGAATCAAAGTAGTTACCGGTTTACTATGTGAGCAAGTCATTCCTCGACGCAGAAACTCGGTACAGTCAACTAAAGAAACTGGCCCTCGCCCTTATCCATGCATCCAGGAAGCTCAGGCCGTACTTTCAGTGCCACTCCATTGTTGTAATCACCTCCTTCCCACTCAAGCAGATACTGCACAAACCAAAACTATCAGGCCGACTCATGCAATGGATAGTAGAGCTCAGTGAGTTCGATATAGCCTACCAATCCCGTACCGCCGTCAAGTCCTAGGCACTAACAGACTTCATTGTCGACTTCACACCAAGTGCCACCACCCAGGCCGAAAGAGAGTTATTATGCATGAATGGCGCACCACCCTCAAAGTGGACTCTCCTAGTAGATGGATCGAGTAATGTCAATGGAAGCAGACTCGGAATAGTACTGATCGCACCAGAGGGAGACATCGTCCAGCGAGTAATCCGGTGTGGGTTCAAATGCATGAATAACGAGGCCGAATATGAAGCCCTTCTAGCTAGACTTTCCTTGGCCAGAGAAATTGGAGCCAAGAGACTGGAAGTGAAGTCCGATTCCCAACTCGTAGTCAATCAACTACAAGGCACGTATCAAGCACGCGATTCAAAGATGACATCCTATTTGAGCATGGCCAAAGAGCTGCAGGCCCAATTCGAAGAGTTCTCCATCATACAAATCCCCAGAGTTGAGAACTACCATGCCGATGCCCTTGCCAACCTTGGCTCGGCACTCCCATGTTCCTCCCAGTCATCCATTCCTCTCTTATTCATGCAGTGGCCAGCCAACTAGAAGGAACAACCACCGAACAAGTCTCCCGCAGAAGCCATGGGCGTTGAACAAGCCGATTGCTGGATGACTCCGATAGTAAGATACTTGGAAAACGATGAACTCCCGACTGACAAGAACGAAACACATCGACTGAAAGCAAGAGCTGGATGATTCATCATACATAAGGGCCAACTCCTCAGAAAGTCATTCTTGGGCCCTTATCTCAAATGCGTAAGTCCAGAAGAAGCCCAAACTGTTATATCCGAACTCCATGAAGGCGAATGCGGCAACCACGCAGGGGGCCGCAGTCTTGCACACCGGGTGATCACCGCTAGATATTAATGGCTGACCATACACACCGATTCGACCGCTTACGTGAAGAAGAGCGACAGTTGTCAGAGATTTGCCTATGTCTCACACCTCCCACCAGAGCGACTCCATTCTCACACCGTGGCCATTCATGAAGTGGGGAATGGACATCGTGGGAAAGCTACCTACTGCACCGGGGCAATGAGTCTTCATGTTGGCTGTGACAGACTACTTCACCAAGTGGATCGAAGCCGAAGCCTTCGCTCAAGTCAGAGACCGAGAGGTAAAAGCTTTCATCTGGAAGAATGTGATCTGCAGGTTCGGAATACCAAAGGAGATTGTCACCGATAATGGGTCCCAGTTCATTAGTTCAGGCTTTAGGGATTTCTGTGACATGTAGGGAATAAAATTGAGCTTCTCAACACCCCGCAACCCCCACTCTAACGGCCAGGCCGAGTCATCAAACAAGACAATCATGCAGACATTGAAGAAGCGATTACAAAAAGCTAAGGGCGTATGGGCGGACGAGCTACCTGGAGTCATCTGGTCATACCGAACCACGGCTCGATCATCAACTGGTGAAACCCCTTTCTCCCTGACATACGGTTCCGAAGCAGTCATTCCGGCCGAAGTATTAGTCCCGTCCACCAGGCTCCAATGGGCGGACGAGAAATCAAATAGCCAAAACTTTTGCCAGAACCTAGACACTGTGGACGAGCTACGGGAACAGGCGAGCATCCACAACGCAGTCTACCAACAACAGGCCGCCCGACATTATAACCGCAACGTGAGGATCCGCACTTTCAAGATAGGCGACTGGGTCCTTTGTAAGGTCTTCCAAAACACAAAGGAGATTAACTCTGGCAAACTCGGACCCACCTGGGAAGGCCACTACAAGATAATCAAAGAAGCAAGGAAGGGCGCCTACAAACTCCAGACCCCCGAGGGCAAAGACATCAACAACAGTTGGAATGTCGTTCACCTCAAACGTTACTACTCATAGGTGAACCTTGTCCTTTTTGGGAATTTTGTTTTTTTTTTTTTTTTTTTTTTTTATTAAAATGATGAGTGGGCCTATCCACCTCCTCTTAGACAGTCGGCCTCATGGCCAGATATTTAATGAAGTATTATTCAGTAGTTCTCATCTTCGAGTCGACCCCGGTCGATGAATTACTTACACCTTCAAATCGGCCTTGCCCGATGAACGTACGGACACCTTCAAATCGGACTTGCCCGATGAACGTTCGGACACCTTTAAATCGGCCTTGCCCGATGAACGTACGGACACCTTCAAATCGGCCCTACCCGATATACGTACGGACACCTTCAAATCGGCCTTGCCCAATGAACGTACGGACACCTTCAAATCGGCCCTGCCCGATATACGTACGGATACCATCAAATCGGCCTTGCCCGACGAACGTACGGACACCTTCAAATCGCCCTTGCCCGATGAACGTACGGACACCTTCAAATCGGCCTTGCCCGATGAACGTACGGACAACTTCTAATCGGCCTTGCCCGATGAACGTACAGACACCTTCTAATCAGCCCTGCCCGATGAACGTACAGACACCTTCAAGTCGACCCGGTCGATGAATTACTCACACCCTCGAATCGACCCCGCTCGACTCTCGAGAACACCTTAAGATCGGCCCTGCTCGATCCAAGACTTGGCACCTTGGGACCGGCGCCATCCGACCCAGGAACTGAACTAAAGATGCACCGCCATTCATCCAGGGGACTACACACTCGGTCGACCCGACCGAATGAATGATTCCTATACCATTGTCAAGCAAAGCACCAACCCAGCCCAATATAAGGCCTACATGCCTTAGCCATTGGGCCAAGCTGAGGTAACATACACAAAAATAGAGAGGAGAAATAAAAAGAACAGTTCATTCATCCAAGGAGACAACACGAGAAACCAGAACAGTCAAAGGTAATATATGTGGCATCAAACGCCCCAGTTCAGAATACAAAAAATGGCACAAACGCTAGACAAAAGGGCATCGCAGGCCCCAAAATACAAAAAAGGAAAAGGAGGAGAGCGCTAAACATCCTCAGCACGAGCCTTATCCTCCACCACCGAATCAGTCACCACGCAAGCACCACTAGTGCTCAGCCCCGCAGCCAGGTCGCTCACGTCCCCAACACCCGGTTGACTAAGCTCAGGCATCGGCTCCTCGTCCTGTCCCACCGGATGACCAGACCCTTCCTCCAACAACTCCTGCATGAGCAGAATGTCTTCATCTGGATCCCAATGAGAGGTCTGCCCTTCCTTAAACTCCAGCATGAGCTCGCCTCGGGCCTTAATGATGGCGTCATCAGCAATGGAGATACACTGCTCCCTGAGGGACTCGACCTCCGCGGTCCTCTCGGCTAACTCGCGCCGTAACCTCTCAACCTCGGCCTCACTATCCTTGAGGCGCTGCTGACTCTCCTGCTCAGCCTTCCGGGATGCTGCCTCCCTCTGCCGCAAACCAGCTTTGGCCTTGGATACAGCCTGTATCCGCTTCTCCTACGCCACGACAGACTTCCTTAGATGGAGAATGCTAGTGAGTACCTACACAACAAAACTCAGCAATGAGAACAGAGTCGAAAACAGAAAAAATGAACAAATACTGCCATACCTGAACGGCACGGGATACACCCCAATCAGCGGCAGCAACCGCACCCATCTGGTTCAGGCGCGCCTCATCCATCGGGAACAAGAAGGAGTCGGCCAGCTTACTCATAGATGTCGCA